TCTTACAACACCCACAGGGAAGGAAGGGGTAGTCTATTCGGTGGACCTACACAGTTGCCAACCCGCTTGCCAAGTGTAGCAACTACTGGCAAATACCCCCTTATGGGGAGGCCACGTTCAACAGTGTTTAATAGCTGATACAACGACAATTAGGGGAGGGGGGAAGGACTACCAGTCTCATTGCTAGCAATTGCTTTTTGTTCTTTTTGGTGCTTTTTGTTTTTCATTCTTTTATCTCTTTTACTGTGTATGTCTGTACTATGTGTATGTTTGTATTGTTATTTGTGTGCTGTAAGTAATGTAAATAAATTATCTATCTATGGTATTTATCTATCTATCAATATATGCTATCAGGTAGCCCCATGGCCACATGGCCCCCCCTGGAAACCATCGTGTCCCAAGTGTATTCATCACGATAAACTAACTGACCTATCTTTCCATCCTCACCTATCATCCCTCACTGGTGCCAAGCCAGCGCATACCGACAGCGCAGGGTTGCCATTACATTACCCGTATCGTCCATTAAAAAAAAAAAACAACAACAATTATGTCGTAAGTAGATATTAATTTTTTGAGCTGATCACCTTGTGCTGCATCAATAAAAAAAGTAACCTTAATAAAACGTGGCTTTATGGCTGTGCACGCGCTGGCAAAGGTTTTTTGTTTAGCGTGGTCACAGTGTAAGTTGCAGGTGTATCTTTGTATATATGTCTAAGAACTGTTTACAATCGAAGTCATTAGGTATTAATTAAAAAAATAAGTACTTTATATTATTCTCAATTCCTTGTATAATATAGTATATTTTATATATGTGTAAGTATATTTGTTATTCATATATATTTATTCGTTTATATATGTAATTTCAGTACGTATGTATATCAATAATTACTAGTATCGCATTCGAGTATTCTGACACTTCCCTATGGTTGACTGGGAGAGAACGCTTTTAGCATTAAGTCCGCCATGTACACATATATGTACTAATGAATAAATAAATAAATAAAAATGCTTGTAGCATTCTCTCCCAGTCAACCATAGGGAAGTGTCAGAATACCCGAATAATATAATAATAGTGGAGTTATTTATACGACCTACATTTTTGAGCTAATTGGGTAAAGGTTTCCTGGTGGATTTACAATTATTGAGGTACAGATGTCTTGTTGAGTTTAGGGGCCTGTCGCATTAAGGGCACAATAATTATGGACTTACTACATTTATATCGACTGTTTTTTTTATGGATGGTATTTTTTTTGATGGGTGAAAATGGTATGGTAACCCCGCCTGCGCTAACGGGATACGCTGGCGGAGCACCAGTGAAGGGTGATAGATGAGAATGAAAACAGGCCAGTTAGCTCATCATGATGAATTCATCAGGAATTAACCATGATAGTTTCCAGGGGGAACCGCGAGGAGGTCGACCTGGTTGGGTATATTGCTAGCAATGAGACTCTCAGTCTCCATTCCTAACAATCCCTTTCCTTCTGATGGATGGTATTGGAATGGTAATCCCGGCTGCGTTAACGGTAAACGCTGGCGGGGCACCAGTGGGGAATGACAGGTGAAAATAAAAAGACAGGTCAGTTAGCCTATAGTGATGAATACACCTAGGATGCCACTCGTTTCTAGAGGGGATCACGTGGAGTTCGACCTGACAGGGCATACTGCTAGCGATGGGGCCAGTAGACCGCATTTCTAATAATGCCTTCTCTGCAATATATCGGGGGGGGGGGGGGGGAGTTATAAATGAAATCCTGTTGTGGTTAGTGTGCAAGGGGTTTTAACTGAGATAAAAGTATAATATAAGATATAAGTGAGAGAATTAGCTAGGTCAAAGACCTACCAAGTCAACCAGGATGCACCGTCTGCATCATGTGCATTTCACTCATGTTGTATGAGCAATGTCACCCACTACCACATTCCATAAAGCAAGACTTCGTTAAGTAACACTACATATGTATGAGCAGGAATCGTTTAGCATTCGAAACAAGAATAACTGGATCTCAACATGAGTGGTTATGGGAAACACGATAGTTATAGAAAAGTGATTTATTAATTTAGGAAACTGTTAACGTTAGGAAAATAATCCTAATATCTTATATATAAAATTCTCGTGTCACGGTGTTTGTTACCAAACTCTTCCGAAACGGCTTTACCGATTTTTATGAAATTTTGTGTGCATATTGGGTAGGTCTGAGAATCGGCCAACATCTATTTTTTATACCCCTCAATGATAAGGGTGACCCTCTCCAAAAATTTTTTTTTATTTTTTTGAAAAAAATTCAATTTTTATTTTATTATGATTTAGTATTGAAAAATACATACAACTTTAAATTTTCATCGTTTTACGATCAACCCTTGTCTTTTAATCGCGATTTTTATATTTCGCAATAAGTGGTAAAACAACGTTTACGGGGTCAGCTAGTATATATATATATATATATATATATATATATATATATATATATATAATTACGAAGAACGATGGTTACTCACAAAATAACAACTAAGGGAGGGTGACGTATGGGCAGCAGCGTCCCTCTTAAAACATCTCTAAAGCTTGACTGCGGATGCCAATCCGCCTGCCAAGCGTGGCAACTACTGGCAAAACCCCCAAGGGGAGGCTTATGTTCAGCAGTGGACAGTTAAAGGCTGGTATGACGATGATGATGAAAGTTAACTCTATTGTTTTTAAAAGAATTATGAAATTAGGTTCAGAATTAGCGACGTAAACATACAAAAAACGTAACATTAAAAAAAAAAATGACGATTTAATTAACTCCTTTTGTGTATTAACAAGGGATCTCACTGGATATTGTAAATTAAACAAGCATATGCTACTACTATATATAATATACCATTTTTTTTTATACAACTTAGAATGGCAAACAAGCTGACGGCCCACCTGATGGAAAGTGGTAACCGTCGCCTATAGACATGAGCAGTACCATGGACATAACAGAGTATACAGTTTCGCCCATGATACCCCCCCTTGCGTTGCCATTACTGAGGACTCAGGTGTTATTCTTATTTATTATCGTGTTATTCTTGTTATATATAATACTAGGCTTTTCCCCAAAAAAGTGTTCGCAGATTTTGTCACAATGAGAACAAACAAGAAACGCTGCAGCACTTAATTTGTGGCTGTAATCCACTCATATATATACGATAAATATTTTCCTTTGGAAAACACACTCTATATCCTGAAGGGATAAAAAAATATCGCTATAAAAAACATCTTAAAATTCCTGTCAATGATATGAACTTTAATAATTTAACTTTAACAAAATAGCGAACTTTAAAACGGCGCTAACAAAGATCATGGAAGGGTCGCAGTGTCACAGGTTTTTTTGTGATTTGTTTAGGACGTCTATTTTGTTAGATATTTTAAGTACTTGTATCAGGAGGAAGGGACTGTTAGTAGTGGGTATGTTAGTCCCCATTGCTATCAATATATCCCATCAGGTCGACCTTCACGCGGATCTCCTGGAAACTATCGTGACTGATTTATCTTTGAATTTGTCACGATGGGCTAACTGACCTGCGTCATCTTCACCTATCATCCCACACTGGTGCCCCGCCGGTGTATACCGTTGGCGTGGATAGGGTATCATTCCATTATCATCCATTAAAAAAAAAAGTACTTGTATCATAAAAATTTCTGAATTTAAGACATAATTAATACAATGCGATTATTGCTTTTTTTTGTAATATCTCGTTCTTGACATACAAAACTGAATTGAAAAGATTGTTTTGTAAGGTCAAATTAGGTATCAGAATCAATTTAAATAAATAAACGTCAAAAAAATATTTTGCAATTCTTAATGAAAGCATATATAAGTATCTATTATTTAATTTATCGCTTGAGATATTTTTCATCATACATATGCGGTCCTTTTTTCTTCTTTATCAGAGAGTAAACTTAGAGTAGGCACTATCGTTTTAGTGTCGACATTTAAAAATGAATCTATACAACCACTGAGAAACATCAAAACAATAAAATAAATGAATATTTATAATATTACACAACTATCTATAATATATTTGTATCGAAAACAACGACATCGTAACGGTATCATAAAAGACTTTATACAGCATAAAATGTTTAAATTAAATGAACTGGTTGCATAGAATTTCATACAAAGGTTTTTATTTTCGAAGTGACGTGGCCTGATTCTTAACATTTTTTTTTTATATTACGAAGGTGGCAAAAGCCATATAGTACAGCCCGTTTGATAATATTATAGTCTATGGACACCTGCATTACCAGGGATGTTACGTGCGTGTTGCTAATCCTGAAGGAACCTTATAACGCTCCTTTTGAGGAATCCTAGACTTTAGTTTGTAGAGAAATCTTCGATAGGAAGAGCTCATTCTCAGACTAAACATTTCACAGTCTAAGATTGAGCTAGAGGAAAATTCTCTGAATCTGCATCGATTAATTTGCTTTTTTTTATGATTGAAAATTATACATAAATGAATTGTTTACATATTGACTAATGTTTACACGCGACTTTGTCCGCGTGGAAGGGATAATATTAATAGACCGGTAAAAAAGTAACCTAGGTATGTTTACATTATTAAACAGCTTGTGTTTAATACTTTCACAATTTTATTAGTGAGGAAGTAAGGATATCGATCTTTATGATGTCTAATTGTTATGTTTTATATAATCGACATATTATTGCCTTATACTTATATGTAATACATAACATAAGAGTTACGGTTGGCACAGGAAGTCATAAATATAGCTTTTACATACACCATTAATATATTTAATCGATATACATTATTTTTTACTATTCAAGCAATTTCAAGAAGAGGTTTTAAATGTTTATTTTTAAGTGACCTTTCGCCGATTTAGAACTGATTTTATTGATTCTTTTTTATTGAAATTAAGTCTTGTTTGAAGTCGGGTTTTCTGTGGCATATATTTTTAAATTATAAAAGAAATATAATTAGGTACATTATAAAAAAAATATTTATTTTAATTCCTGACTTACCCAATAACATTTCCGTTGTTATATTTAAAAACCTATTAAATACATAAAACTCAGTTAATCACTTATTTATAGTACATATAATATAACTGTATACACTATATTCCTTCGATCACTTAAAAATATATAAAAAAAAGCCTAGCGGCCACAACAGATTAAAAAGTGTTACTGGCCGGTATTCTTGGCGTATATTCGTTTTAAATCAACGGTACGTGTGTGGAGGTGGTGTTTTAACTTTAAGTATATTTCTATAGAATTGTTTAAAGTCCATTGACGCTATCGACCGACAGTTTGAATTCTATTCGATTACGAAGAAGCAATAGTGTTTTATTTAAAAGTAAATATTGCGCTGTGGATAAATGCATTCTGTCGCATAGTAAAGATGTTATATGATACTTTTACAATATTTTTATTCAATGCTGCTAATATACGTGTTAAAAATAACACTCTAACAAGAAAAGAAGTAATGTATATTGTGTATTTTATATAAAATGTAATTTAAAAGTGAATGTGTTTTGCTCTGTAATCAATTACTACGTAGGGTTCATTTTCAATTCAAAAGTTCATACATAATAATGATGCATCAGATAATATCTTATCTAATCATAATTTAAAAAAACATTTTTTTTTAGAATGATTCTATAATTTTTTTTTGTATACTGAAAGTGACCTAGAAACTTTTGACATCAGAGTTTTAACTAGTCTCATTGGTATTTTCATGTTTGTAGCGCCATCTGTTGTGAGATTTTAGGCTGTCATTGTATACAAAGGCTTCTAAGGTGCTTCTAAGGTGGTTTAGGAGACATTCATTGTGAGATGATAGGTGAGAATGAAACAGGTCAGTGGCCCAGAATGGTGAAATCATAAAGAATTAACCAAGATGGTTTCAAGGGGGACCCGCGTAGAGGTAGTCCAGATGCCAATAGATCCCTATTGCTAACAATCTATTTCCCCCGGACGCCCGGACGACGACTTTACGTGCCTACCGCATGAAACAAGTGACAAGAGCTTTACACCGGGATTCGATCTTGTGATTTCCATTTCTCAATCAAACGTTGTCTGGATTAATTATCAAATTGCATTTGATCTGTTATTTTTCTGGTCCATTTTAATTAATTTTGCATAATAAGATACCGAGGTCTGTATCTACAAAAGTAGCACGCATCGATTTTTATAATATCAACTCTAATAATATGACATATTTTGTTAATAACTCTGATAATCTAAAAATTTTACTGATTGCATTTTTGTCATCAGTATCGATCACTAATCACCCGCTGATAGTTATTTTGGAAATATATTTCATGTACAGAATTGACCTCTCTACAGATTTATTATAAGTATAGATATTATACCATAAAACCGAAAGATAGTCATGCAAATACAATTGCATAGCAGTAGAGACACAAGTGGGACAGATGTACCCATACAGACAATATTGTATAACACAAATATTCAACCTCTTTAACTACGGTTACAGTTTCTATTAAAATATTTTTTTTTATACAACTTAGAATGGCAAACAAGCTGACAGCCCACCTGATAGGAAAGTGGTAACCATCGCCTATAGACATGAGCAGTCCCATGGACATAACAGAGTATACTGTTCCACCCATGATACCCCTCATGCGTTGCCATTCCTGAGGACTCAGATATTATTCGTCTGTACCCCGTAAATTCACGCCATATACCACCCTTCAAACCGAAACACAGCCATGCAACAACTGCTTCACGGTTGAAACACGAATAGGACAGAGGTACGGTAGGTATTAAAATAACGCAGAACCCGTCAAAGCTAACGCCGACTCACGCTTGGCACACCACCGAACAATACTCCGAAGATCAGATCTAAGTTTTTAGAGCCTGAGATCCAGTTTCACCGGAGACAATGCGATGAACCCGACTGAACTAGCTGCTGGTGGGAGACATTCATTGTGATTATATAATTGATGGTAATGAGATTACACGTGTATCGTGACCTAATCAGTTGTTATGGGGGGGGAAAGCGATTGTTAGTAATGGAGTCAAATAGCCCTATTACTAGCAATATACCCTGTCAGGTCGACCTCCACGTGGTTCCCCCTGGAAACCATCGTGACTAATTCTAGTTTAATTCGTTAGGATGGGCTAACTGACCTACTTTCATCTTCATCTGTCATCCCTCACTGGTGCCCCGCCGGACGGGGTTACCATACCATTATCACCCATTAAAAAAAAATCTGTTTTTATGGGGTGAAGGGGGGGGGGAAGGCTTGTTATTAATGTGGACTACCAGTCCCGTTGCTCACAATAATATAATATATATATATATATATATATAAAATTTAATAAAAAATATTGAATTTGTCGTACGAATGTAGGGTTATGGGGAGTGTCAGCCCCATGTCAGTCAAATTTTAAATCTTATGTGTCTACAAGACATCTCGTCATCAACTGGTGCGTTTTATTCGTTTTAAAATAAGAACAGTGATGTCACTAGACGAGATTAACTTTTTCAGGATAAATTCACAATGTTTTTTAAAGCAAGTGTATGTTCCCAAGAACAAGGAATTACACAGAAGGTATGATAAAATAAAAAACTGTAAATCATATGGGTGCCTCCTTTCTTCTTATGCAAATATAAATAGTAAAATGAGGACGAAAGATACACCATCAGTTGCTATTGTTCTCAATTCATAGCAGGCTAGTGTATAGAAAACGTTTGATGTGTCAATTATTTGTCAATAACAAATTTTACATTACTAGATTATATATTGGACACGGTTTATGTAGAAAGTATGCAAGTACACTAGCCTGCTATGAATTGACAATTTTATCACTCCTTCTATGTAATTCTTTGTTCTTAGATATGTTCTGAATGTGTTGTCACACGGCTTTATGTGCTTACTTTTTTTTTTTTTGATGGGTGAAAATGGTATAGTAACTCCGCCTGCGCTAATGGGGTACGCTGGCGGAGCACCAATGAAGGGTGATCGATGAGAATGAAAACAGGCCAGTTAGCCTATCATGATGAATTCATCAGGAATTAACCATGATAGTTTCCAGGGAGAACCGCGAGGAGATCGACCTGGTTGGGTATATTGCTAGCAATAGGATTCTCAGTCTCCATTACTAACAATCCCTGTCCCCCCTGTGCTTACTTATTATATTATAGTAACAAATTTGTACTCTTTTTTTTACAACACAGGGGGCAAACGAGCATGCGGCTCACCTGATGGTAAGTGACTACCGCCGCCCGTGATCACCCACAACACCAGCGGCATTGCAGGATAAAGATACGATAGATAGATAGATAATATATTTCCATTACTTACTATGTGGCAGGCTTATAAATATAAATAAATAAATATTTATAATTGAAATGATTTAATACCTCATCTCGTTATCTAACTGAATACACCATTTCCTGGTCATCCGCGTCATTAAATGAAAGATTATCATAATTATTTATAATAATAAATGCATTTAGTCTAAACATATTATCATTATATTGCCAAAATGCCTTTGTAATTAATTATATATTTTTTTTTATGGGTGAAAATGGTATGGTAACCCCGCCTGCGCTAACGGGATACGATGGCGGAGCACCAGTGAAGGGTGATAGATGAGAATGAAAACAGGCCAGTTAGCCCATCGTGACGAATTCATCAGGAATTAACCATGATAGTTTCCAGGGGGAATCGCGAGGAGGTGGACCTGGTTGGGTATATTGCTAGCAATGGGATTCTCAGTCTCCATTACTAAATCCCTTTCCCCCAATTAATTATGTTATAAGTTATGTATAAAAAGTACACGTAATCGGCATGCTTGTATGAATAGATTGATGAATGTGGAGTAAGTGAAAGGGGTAAGTATGGATTGGGGCAATTCTATTGTGTCTGCCTACTTCGATGGGAGATAGGCGTGACGACAAGACATATAAGTTATAGTGAGTTCTTGGGGTTAGGGGTTAAAGAAACCGTTTTTTATTTGTGGGAATATACTTTTACTGGAGGTAAACATATAAATCGTATTAATTATTGTAATACACATAAAAACATGGACACTCTTAACATAATCTTATAGACAGTACAGTGTAATTAATTGGCAGAGACAACTCATTCGCTAATCTAGAGTATACAATCATGGAATCGAGCTGGGAGGCGGCGCTGGTGGCCTATGCTCTTTCGATTACCGAGAGTCGGTAATCGAGTGATGGCTACAAAGCATATATATATATATGTAAGTATATAATTCTATACTTTATACATAATATTGTAAAGGGTTATTACATTTAATTATGAATATTTCGTTTATATGCAAGTTTATTTTGATATATTCAAATGTTATTATAAATTTAGGTTTAATTTTTTATTAAATTAAATTTAAATTATATAAATTGTTATTCTACAAAATGTATACAGTAATTTCAACATTCATATCAACCGGCTCGTTGGTCTAGGGGTATGATTCTCGCTTAGGGTGCGAGAGGTCCCGGGTTCAAATCCCGGACGAGCCCAAATACTTTTTTGTTATTTGTTCCATTGTCTCTTTATTTTAAGAATATATTTCTATATTGTTAATATTTTGGAAAAAATTATTGACAAAAAAAGTACGTTTCGTGACAATAACAAAAAAAAAAGTTTTTACTGATTTCGGAAAAACACATAATATTTTTAAATTATTATATACTTAAATTATTAACATCTTGTTGACTATGACTCTTTTCATTTGATTGGATATAGTTATATGGATATGTTAATTTATTTCAGAGGCTAAATCTACTTTCTTCCAAAGAGATTTAATCGCTGTTGGTTTGTTTTTTTCGTTATTAAGGAACAAATAGATTATATTATTGTACCACGGACATCACAGTGTATTTTGTGATGTCCAAGCTGATATGCCTATTTTGTTTGTCGTCAATTCGTTTGTATTTCTCAGTTCCATAATCAATAAAAAAATTCTAAGTGAATATAAAATTTAATACAATTTTATTACAAGTTACGCCATCTATTGGATGTAGCAAGTTATTTATTAAAATTATTGATATCATAGTTATAGATGGCGTTAAATAACATATAATATATAAAATTAGATTTCTGGATTTTGACATACTCTTTTATAAAATACGTAAATAAATATTTAAATTTCTATTAGTATTTTTATGCATAATTATCAATGCGAAGAATATTCGTTATAGACAGTAGACAGGATATATTTATTTCTATATATACTATTTCACATAACATCGATTTCGATAATTGATTTTCCATAATGCATTTAAATAAATGATTAAAGGCACACGGCTCGTCTGAAGTCGCCTAAAATACTGTATTCACGTCTAAAATATGTATGTGAACGTAAAGTCGTTAATGCAAGTTTTTGTTAGTTCAATTAACTCTCACTAGCTACCGTCGTGTAGGTACATAATACTTATTTATGAAAGTTGTACTAAATCACCAAAACGCAATGTCATATTCCAAGCACAATATTATGTGAGCGTGTTCTGGGTCGTGCGGGTACAATGAAGTATCACGGTGATTATTAGAAATGTATGATCTCAAGTGAAAAAGTGTTATTTAATCATTTGTTAATTTTTAGTGACGCTATTACATGGCATACATAATATACCACCTCTCCTCCACGTGGTTCCCCCTGGAAACCATCGTGAACAATTCTTGTTGAATTCGTCACGATGGTCTCACTGACCTGCTTCATTCTCACCTATCATCCCTCACTGGTGCCCCGCCAGCGTATACCGATGGCGCGGGCGGGTTACCATTCCATTTTCACCCATTAAAAAGAATTAAAAAAAAACCCTCTACCCACCCGTTGTCTGGAAGGGATTGATTTAGCAATATGACGACATTTTGTCCTTTATAAGCATATTATTTAAAATATATTGTATCATTCCTTAAGTGGTGCAATAAAGAGTTAATCTTATATATAAAATTCTCGTGTCGCGGTGTTTGTTACCAAACTCCTCCGAAACGGCTTTACCGATTTTTATGAAATTTTGTGTGCATATCGGGCAGGTCTGAGAATCGGCCAACATCTATTTTTTATACCCCTCAATGATAATGGTGACCCACCCCAAAATATTTTTTTTTATTTTTTTAACAATTTTTTTTATTTTTATTTTATTATAATTTAGCATTGAAAAATACATACAGCTTTAAATTTTCATCGTTTTACGATCAACCCCTGTATTTTAATCGCGATTTTTATATTTATTTCGCAATAAGTGGTAAAACAACGTTTACGGGGTCAGCTAGTAAATAAATAAATGATTGTTTATCAATGTAGGTACTTCAATGTAGACATCAAAGTTTATCAAAATTTAATTACTAAAATAATTCTAATCAACTGACCAGTGTTATGGATTTCCACAAAATAACATCTAATTTAGGTAAAATATATATATAAAACGTGAAACAGTGTTTTCTTTTTGTATGTCACAATATATCTCGACCAATTCTAAACCGATTCTGATAACTCTTTTATACCGGGGGGAAAAGGGATTGTTAGTAATGGAGACTAAAAATCCCATTGCTAGCAATATACCCAACCAGGTCGACCTCGCGGTTCCCCCTGGAAACTATCATGATTAATTCTTCATGATGAATTCATCATGATGGGCTAACTGACCTGTTTTCATTCTCATCTATCACCCTTCACTGGTGCTCCGCCAGCGTATCCCGTTAGCGCAGGCGGGGTTACCATACCATTTTCATCCAACAAATTCTTTTTTACCATCAGTACCGATAATTTTTTCAACATTTGTACGAGATATTAAGCGAATAAAGAAATACCAATAAGTGTATTCTAATATTTAGAATTACTATTTGATTAACAATTTGGCGAGAAAATACTAGTAATAAACGTACAAATGCACGGAGTGTTGTAAAACATACTTAGAATGTGTAAAGACACTCAGTGAGTCAATAGAACGCGTAACTAGATGATTGGCTATATTTCATTTCCTTCCTCTTGAATGTTTAGAAATGTTATTATTATGTATTGATTACCTCAAAAGCTAAATTTAGTAAATTTTTTCTCAAAAAATATAACTATTTCTGTCAACATGGAAGTAATCTATAAATCTTTAAGTCAAAAATGAAAAAAATAATATCCAAGAATAAATAAGTAACATTTAAAAAATCTCAAATTGAAAACTAATGCCTTAAAATGCCACTAATGCCTTAGAATAAAATTACAATAACCTTGGATGAACCACACAGCGCCATCTAGTTTCAAATAGAGTAAAGTTTGTTGTACTATAGTTGCTAAATAGCTGTTAGACATTTTGTAAATCCATAGAAAACACTCAGACAGACAAACTTATAGGTCAAATATTTAGGGATCGAACCTGTTGGTTGTACTGGTATGGTTGTAATCATCAGGAAAAAACATTAGCGTGTTAAAACGTTACACTTTAATAGTGTATCCTCAAAATAATTTTTAATTCTAATTATACTAGAAAGAAATAAAACTAAGAATTATGAAAAGTCTTTATTTAAGTGTTTAAAATATTTTAATAATATTTAATAAAATTACATAGGTAATAATTGACTCTACATTTAATTTTTTTTATATTTTTAATTTTATGAATATATCTTGAAGTAAATCTTAAAAGATTATTTATATAATACTAACTGTTGAAGCCAAAGATCTAGAAGAAACAAAAGGATTTGGAGGAACTCAATCGTACGTCAAAATTTTCTGCAGATTACAGTAAATATAGGTGTAACTCTGCAAAATCTTACACAAATATGACCATGACTTTAAATGCTAGACATAAAATAATCATCAGGGGGGCACGGATCATTGGTATCAATGGGCTTGTATCTGTAAATCTTTCCTTTAGTTCCAATTAGAATATTATTCTTATTGTCAAACGTCATTGCTGTGATTTTAAAATCCAACTGTCCTATTTTAACAGGCAAAATACTATTCGTGAACAATCTAAACAGAGAACCTTTGACTGCAACTATCGCTTCATCGTCGTTATTCAATTGCAGAATATATTTTAATTCTCTCGTGAAACCTTTATACTGGACCGGCTCGTACAAGTCCATTGAAAAGAAATACAATCTGCCGTCGACGTATTCATAAAAAGCATTGCCCTTTGCATCGAGAACGAAACTATACGCTCTCGGTATTTTATCATATCTTTTAACAGCTGCACTGTCATTCATGAATCTAAATATTTCGTGATTCGATCCGGTCGTTATATACATTCTGTTGTCAGCTTTATCAATAAATATATTTTTCACGTCGTCATCTCCAATGGGTCTGTCTGCTGTGATTTCAGTTCTTGAATAGTCGTAGATAATCAAGCCTTGATTCGTTCCTATATAAATTACGTTATTTGCCACATCAACGCCAACGCATTGTCCATTTATATCATCAGCAATCGGCAGCTCCTTCACTCCTAAAGAACCGTGTTTGAGAAGATGTATGCCTTTGGTGTAATTTCTTTTATGTAGTATAAAAAATATGTGTTCGGTTCTTGGATCTACAACCATACCAGTTGGGTAGCCGTCAATGGTAGCAATGAGTTGGCGTTTGTAATATTCATTGCCTATTTTCGTCCGTTCGCATTTCTCCGCACTGTGGAGATTTATATTGATGGTGAAGATCGCTAGTACTGCAGTGAAGATGCCCTCTAATGAACGCATTTTGGATTCATGACAGCTCGTCTCTGTGAAGGAAGTGTTTAGCATTTATTACGTGAGCCCAGTTTGAGTAGATAGTGAAAGTTAGACTTTTGTCAGAAGACGAAAGTAATATTATCTTAAACGCTTCCGTTTTTTAATATCCTTCTTTATTTATTAGTAATTAATAGTGACATAGTTTTGTACGTTTTAATTATGATGATTGTTGTTAAACGATGTTATATTAAATTATTGTATGGAAATATAGCTTATCGTAGCTTTTGTCTATAGATTTAACATATCAATTTCATTTTGTTAAAGGATTTATTATTTAAATTCTGTTACATTTTGATTGTCTATGTACATAACATTGTAACAAGTCGACGTTTATACATAGAAGATAATATGTAAGAAAAATTACCCTGAAAACGTTTTTAATAAGAGAAATAAAAAATTAAAACAATATTTTATTGTGTTTTTTCTCTTTCTTCAGAATAAATTATTACATCATTTTTTCTTTAATTTATGTCGACATTACCTTTTGTTCGTAAATTTATATGTGTAGATTTGGGAATAAAATTTACACCAAATTTTAAGTATTCAAAAACATAATTGTGAAAAACTTTAAATTCTGCGTGATGCCGGGATAAAAATACGTAAAAACAGAAAGAGAAAAAATCCACAAAATATTGTTTTAATTTTTTATTTCTCTTTTATTTTATTTTATTATAAATAGTAGGAAAAGTATCTAAGAGACAGCCAAATTACATTTCCAAAAGTGATGAATATTTGCAACATTGCGAATGGTTGATGGAATTGAAAATGCAATTAGGTAATGGGATTATGGTGGGGCGAAAGGCTTGTTAGTAATGCAAATTATCAGCCCCATTGCTAGCAATATACCCTAACAGGTCGACCTCTCCGTGATCCCCCTGGAAACCATCGTGCTGAATTCCAAGTGTATTCATCACGATGGGCTAACTGATCTGCCTTTTCATCCTCACCTATCATCCTTCACTGGTACCTCGCCTGCGTATACCGTTGTCGCAAGCGCGGTTACCATACCATTATCGTTCATAAAAAAAATGAAATTATGATTACCTCAAGGTATGCGTATCGTCCGCCTGTTAGGAGTGCAATAACATCGTCGACTAGTAGTTTGCGTCGGATCTCTTTATAAAACATAACTGCCATTGTGTCGTGTGACGAGGATGCTTTGTAAACATAGCAACCGTTGATGATATAATAACATTACATGCTGAGGTTTTTTTGTCTAAGAATATTTAGAGATAGTTCTTCTTTAAACTTAAGAGGTCTGAGACCTGAGAGAAAGATCTGATGGTAAGTGGCTTCCGTCGATTATGAGTCTTTGGTTAGGGAGTTTGTTTTTTCTTCTTTAGTGGCATTCACCCCGATTTTAGGGTATTTTGCCAAAAACAAAGCGGGGAAACGACAGTAATGGTAAAAATACTTATCTTATGCGAATCTAAATTTATTTATTGTAGAAGCATACAATCATTTGTATGCATCTAAATTAAATACATTTAGGAGCTGATATTAATCGGAATAATTCCTCTGAACTCTCCTCTAGATATTTATTTATTTATTTATATTTTTGCACACGATATAATATGTCTACAGGGCGGACTTAATGAAATATGGGATTAAAGACGCAAAGATTGTTTTTTTTATTTTTTTTTACAACTTAGAATGGCAAACAAGCTGACGGCCCACCTGATGGAAAGTGGTAACCGTCGCCTATAGACATGAGCAGTACCATGGACATAACAGAGTATATTGTTTCACCCATGATAACCCCCATGCGTTGCCATTCCTAAGGACTCAGGGGTTATTCCTTTGTACCCAGTAAATTCACGCCATATCCCATCCTTCAAACCGAAACACAGCTATGCAAACACAACTGCTTCACGGTTGAAACACGAATGGGACAGAGCTACCCAAGCAATCGACTTTTGTACAAAGTCTCCCTCTGGTAATACGCAGCATTCTTCTTTCATAGTAAAATTTTGATTGAAGCCGTAGTTTTACTATGTTCATAATTGGATATTGAGAATTTTATGAACCTACCATGTTTGTCGTTTCCAATAATTGTTTCCACTTCATCCGGTAGTCATCTTTGCGACGTGGAAGTGAAATAATGCAACTGGGAACATGAACTACATGCATGTGTCACGACCAGCATTACAATTTAGGAGATTTTAGAAATTCAGTTGGCAGATGACATCATTCATTGTAAAACTGCGTGCGTCAATGTTACATCGTTTCTGAGTCAAATTGTAGTTAAATTACTATGCAAATAGTTACGTTTTAGAGGGATTGAATCCGGTACTCAATATAAGTAACGATAAGACCGCCTTTTGTACCTTTATGTGTATATTTCAATCTGTATTTATGTTACTGTATTTCACTTGAATTATTCACTTGTCATTGTATTATGGTGTATTGTATATGGTATGTGATGTATTATGGTGCAATAAAGAGTTAAATAAATAAATAAATAAGTAACTATAGTACAGCACAGTACAGATAATAAATAATAATAATAATAAATAAATAAATTCTTTAATAAAGGCAACCAGGGCCCACAAAATATTAACAATATCAATCTGTACCAAATATATACTATTAAATTAAATTTTTACATTTATAAATAAATAACATTGATCTAACCTATATTTTTTGTATGTTAGCCAGCATGTGAATCATTCTGCAACGATTCAAATACTGGCAGTCTGGATGGTCCGCTAATACCCTTAGGGGGGGGGGGGGGGAAGGGATTATTAGTAATGGAGACTGAGAATCCCATTGCTAGCAATATACCCAACCAGGTCGACCTCCTCGCGATTCTTCCTGGAAACTATCATGGTTAATTCCTGATAAATTCATCATGATGGGCTAACTGGTCTGTTTTCATTCTCATCTATCACCCTTCACTGGTGTTCCGTCAGCGTATCCCGTTAGCGCAGGCGGGGTTACCATACTATTTTCACCCATAAAAAAATATACTCTTAGGATAGCGTTAGAGCTGTCCCGGACCCTACGCACCGCTTTCGCATAGTAGCGTAGAAACAATCAACACGCGCCTCGGCGAACATTCCCGATGCACTACAAAACCGGGACACCCTAAACGCATTATTATCCTGGACTCGTAGGGCGCTGTACTGTTTCTGATAATGGTATATCCATATTGAATTAGTAGCTGTTCCCTGCGGCTTTCCCTGTGTGAATTAAGATACAAGTACCCTATCGTCATCATCATATCAGCTAGCCATTTACCACAAGAAGACTTTGTACAAAAGTCGTTTGCTTGGGCACCTCTGTTCCATTCGTGTTTCTACCGTGAAACAGTTGTGTTTGCATGGCTGTATTTCGGTTTGAAGGGCGGGATATGGCAATGAATTTACTGGGTACAGAGAAATAACACCTGAGTCCTCAGGAATGGCAACGCATGGGGGGTATCATGGGCGAAACAGTATACTCTGTTATGTCCATGGTACTGCTCATGTCTATAGGCGACGGTTACCACTTTCCATCAGGTGGGTCATCAGCTTGTTTGCCATTTTAAGTTGTATAAAAAAAAAATTCCTTATGTTTAAGTTTATTTTATACAACAGTTTCAATCTTTTATTTATCGATTGAGGCAGTACGAAGTCTGCCGGGTCAGCAAGTAATATAATAAAATTGTAACTAGGCTATGTCTGTCAATGAAAGATATTGAAGTAAAAAAATGAATATGAAAACTCTTAATAAGGGCAACATATTTCAAAACAGTATTTTTAGAAATTTTATCTGTCTCTATGTTTGTGTGTTTATCCCGGAATCATAAAAAAAAACTACTGCACCAAATTGGATGTGGTTTCCATAGTTGGGTTTTATAACATATTAACAATGCATGCTGACTGAAAAAGTAAAAATATTGTTTTGACTTCTAATGCTCTTACTAAGAGCCCTCGTATACCTTTTTCTTAAACATCTTAACACACATCGGGATTGAGTATGCATGATTATTTACATAAATAAATAAAATATTATTAATTTTTTTATGCAACTTGGAATGGTAAAGAAGCTGACGGCCCACTTGGTGCAAAGTGGTAACCGTCGCCTATAGACATGAGCAGTACCATGTACATAACAGAGTATACTGTTTCGCCCATGATACCATCCATGCGTTGCCATTCCTGAGGACTCAGGTGAATCTATTAATTACAAAATAACAAAAGACAAAAGACCACAATCTTTATTTGGTTCGTTATAAATTATATGAGCACTTTATTCGCAGTCAGTGTGACTATACTTGTATATTATACTATTCGTAGATAAATACAAATCATCGTCCTTGAAAGCAATACCAGCGGGCACAAAATCTAGCTGCATCAGCTTCTTCGGTATCAAACTGTCTGGTTTCAAATGGTAGAGACCATCGTTGGCCGCTAAAACCACTCTATTGTTACCATCAACAGTGATAGCCCTGGCTGTATTCTTAGCTATACCAACAAACTCTATAGGTTCTTGGAAATCTTTTAATAATACTTTTACATATTTTGAGTCACACTCATAATAAATATTGTCATCAGCGTCCACTGCTATGATGTACGCACAAGGTACATAGTCCACCTTCTTCTTTTCGTTTCTCTTCAGATTTATCACATACACTTCGTTTTCTGGGAATATCACAGCGTAAAGTTCATCCTTGTTTTGCGGCTTGTATATTTGAACTATGTCTTCGTCTTTCAAACTGACAAAATTGGCTTTGTTAGTTTTATTAAGAATATTCAAGCCATCGTCACTGGCTATATATACTTTGTCATAATTGACATCCACAGCGGCAGCTTGACCGTTAACATTGTCGATTTTGATTGGTTCCCCATTCTTTAGTATGTATTGGTCCATTTTAGTTTGGACCTCATCATTTTGTAATGATTCGAGATCGATCAATGTGAATAGAAGGTCATTGGTGTGAGGGTTTATAACTAAATTGGTTGGTAGACCCTTTATAGTTAATACAGAGGTTCTTGTGTACGACTGATTGTCATATATATATGGGCAAATCTCTGCTGCGGTGGACGATATAAGTATCATTAATAGATATGACAGCATTCTTGTTTTCTGCAAATAGAATTTTAATATTATTTTAAATCTTTTTTAATATAATTTAAGTCAGATAGTTAGATATTACAAAAATTTATTATGTATAAAAATTTTAAATTGTATTTTATTTAAAATTTTCTATGTATACATGAATTCTATGTATTTTATATAACGTATTTAATATTTGGAAGTAAATAAACGAATACAAAAAGAATAAACAAAATTTATTAAATTATCACATTTTTTTTTAAACAGATTAATGAGGTTTTATCAAAAACTTGGAGTTATTTTAGAATCTTTAACTAAGGATTAGATTTATTTATATTTGAGTCAATTTTGACTAAACACTGTTATTTAATATATATTTAACATGCGATTTGAATATGAGCATGACGAATACATTTAACGTTGAAGCTACATATAATTATGTACTTGCATCTTTAACTGTAACCTCTTTATTATACATACTATACATTGGAATACATAAACATACTTTACAATGGAAGATTTAATATACAATGGCGGACTTAGCCTATAAAAGAATCTCTTACAATCAACTTCTGAGATGCTGAAAGAAAACTATAGAGTTTTTAAAGATAAAAATTGTACACCTAAAGATTGATATAGAAATGTATTTTTAAATATAAACTTTAGATGTTAAAAGAACATCTCAATTCAGAAGATTTCAATCTTTCAGTTAAGTCTTTTAAAAAAGTACAAGTAAATTTATTTTTTATAAAAATAAAATAAATTATAAAACTTATAAAGTTAAATTAGTTAAAGTGTAAAAAAATAATCGTTTAATTTATGAATGAATTAACTCACTTGTATATTTGTGTCCATTATATATGATGACACAGTGTCAACTGGGTATTATCTCGTCCTGTCCTCTGTTTATTATCACAGTTCAACGCTCTTGTATCAATGTGGGGCACACACCAACTAACCCTTTTAATATATTGTTTTTCTATTATACATTTATATCCAATTAAACTTTAATTTTATTATTCACATTTCATGATTGTGTATGTATGTTTGTTTATTTATCAATGTTCAATTTACGCTCATTGGCTTCTATATATTTGATTTTCAATCTAAGGAAGGAAGTATACCTTTGTGTTTGTTTCCATTGTCACGTTATCTAACTTCGTTTGTAAATTTTTATTTTCAATTCGATCCGATATTTTATTGAAATTATATTAGACTATGCCTATGAAGCGGATTGTCTTCAATACTGTTATTTTTATCAAACACAAGGTAAGAGTTGTTGTGTAGTAACTGGCATAGAATAGGCCACCCCTTCCTTTCCTGTAGGTGGCGTGAGCGACTAATAGTGGAGGAAGGAGGAAGGAGGAAGGAAGAGTGCAGCGTCCTTCTTAAAATATCACCAAAAGCCAAACTGCGGTTGTCAACCCGCCTGCCAAGCGTGGAAACTACTTGCAAAACCCAAGGTATATATAATATAAATAGGAACAATGTAAGTAAAAGTGAACTTATTTCTAAAAGAGATCTTTTCCAGTGAACCTAACACAGCGGCATATGAAGTGGTGAGTGGGCAGCAGTAGTGCCCAACAGAAATCTAAATAACAAAAATATTTACATAATTCACAAATTATTATATCTATATTTGAAATATACAATTTCAAATATAGATAAAATTTACACACACACACACACACATATATATATATATATATATGTATCTATATATATATATATATATATATATATATATATATATATATATATATATATATATATATATATATATATATATATATATATATATATATATATATATATATATATATATATATATATATATATATATATATATATATATATATATATATATATAGAAGTAATAACCGACATCCATTTTGATTTTCTCAATTTGCTTGTTTTCTAATAATAACTCTATCAGTTCTAAACCGATTCGGAAAATCCTTTTATATCTGAAAGGATATTACTTACAGATTGGTTCAATGGAGATTTTATCAAAATCGGTTCAGTAATTAGTGTTTCATCGGAATAACTGGTTTTGCCACAATTGAATTTTTTTTTGTGAGACAAAATTTTCAAGTATACCGTGCTACAATGGAAACAGTGTGCTGCATTAGGAACCGTGAAGATCGCGTGAGCAAACACCACCCTTCAATGAACATATTGTGCTCTACTACGCGCCTATTTACACATTTATCAATGCTAACTATATACACGTCAACCCCTGCAATAAGTTACTTGCTAAACATAATCCAACAATTTTTTTATACAACTTAGAATGGCAAACAAGCTGACGGCCCACCTGATGGAAAGTGGTAACCGTCGCCTATAGACATGAGCAGTACCATGGACATAACAGAGTATATTGTCTCGCCTATGATACCTCCCTTTCGTTGCCATTCCTGAGGACTCAAGTGTTATTCCTCCGTACCCTGTAAAATCACGCCATATCCCACCCTTCAAACCGAAACGCAGCCATGCAAACACAACTGCTTTACGGTTGAAACACGAATGGGACAGAGGTACCCAAGCAATCGACTTTTGTACAAAGTGTCCCTCTGGTCAAAAATCTACTGTATTCACGCCAATTACTTTGTGGGGTAGGCATAGAGTGGTCCAGATTTATATATAGTTCCTGGAGTCTTAAAGTCTGGATTACTGTTTAATTCCGCTATTATTAGTATGTGTGCGACTGCCAACACTCGAGATGATCATCATTATCATTATTAAAAGTTCCACAACCTTATATAACTTGCATTAGCCATGAATCTCCGACCGCCATTTTGTTCACGCACGTTTTGCGAGACGTATTATTAGGCAAATTAATAGATCGCTGTCTGGAGCCTTGTGTTAACCGTTCGGCGCTAGGTGAAAGGGGTTGTTAGTAGGCAATATACCCAACCAGGTCGACCTCCTCGTGGTTCCCCCTGGAAACTATCATGGTTAATTCCTGATGAATTCATCATAATGGGCTAACTGGCTTGTTTTCATTCTCATCTATCACCCTTCACTGGTGCTCCGCCAGCGTATCCCGTTAGCGCGGGCATCATCATCATACCATATCATACCATTTTCACTCATAAAAAAACCGTTCGACTCCCAAACTGTGAATAACACTAGGTTAACACTAAACTGATATGGAATACTGTAAAATTACACCAAGTTCAGTAAAAAATTTAAAATTGTTTAAAACTGGTGTATGTTTTATCTCGATGTTTTATAGATAAGTAGTCTACTTTGTTCTTTTACTTTCAAAATTTGAACGAAAGAACAAAATCGTGGTTTCAAAATCGAATGAAACAACAAAATGTGTTTAAAAGTTACACAAACAAACATCGTCGCCAGTAAATAAATAGAAAGCCAAAAAACTTAAAAAAGTGAATTTTATTTATTAACTAGCTTTTGCCCGCGACTCACCCACCTCCATCGCCCACCCGCGAATACACGTGAAGTTTGCAAGTGGATAATAAAACACAAAATCGTAGTTTTGTTGCTAGTTAAAAATAATATTTAAATAAATAAATCAAATTGGACATATTAAATCGCGCCATCTAGTTTCAAACTATAACCCAAACCAAAACAAACATACACGTGAATTCAAATGTGTGTAATGTACAGGAATTGAAACTGCGACCACTGGCAGATCACCGCGACTTCATACACGTGGAGTTTGCAAGTGGGAAATAAAACGCCACTAAATTTATTTATATTTATTTCTTTTTTATTTCACAGGTTTACTTTAAATTTATTTTTTCTTTAATCTTAATAATCACAAACATTAGTTTTGTATCCTTATTAATATATGGAAACAGATGCCGAAAAGTTCTGTTACATGGCCATTATTATGTTAAATGTCTGTTTAAAGCAAATATATATTTGGTTTCATCACACTATGTCAGATCTGGGAATATAAAGTATATTATGTGTATAATCTATAGAAGAAATGATAAAATAAATACTGTAAATCATATGATTGCTTCTTTTTTTCTTATATTAATATTATTATCAAAAAGAGGACGTGAGATATACTATGAAAAAAAAAATGAAAAAATATTTATTTAGTAACAAAATTGATACAATTTTTTCCGGATAAATTCACAATGTTTTTTTAAAGCAAGTGTATGTTTCTAAGAGCAAGGAATTACATAGAAGGAATGATGAAATAAAAACTGTAAATCATATGGGTGCCTCCTTTCTTCTTATGCAAATATAAATAGTAAAATGAGGACGAAAGATACACCATCAGTTGCTATTTTTCTCAATTCATAGCAGGCTAGTGTATAGAAAATGTTTGATATGTCAATTATTTGTCAATGACAAATTTTACATTACTAGATTATATATTCGACACAGTTTATACAAAAAGTATGCAAGCAGTTTGTATCTGAATTTGGTAGGGTTATACGGCCGTGTAACATTTTCTGTACACTAGCCTGCTATGAATTGACAATTTTATCACTCCTTCTATGTAATTCCTTGTTCTTAGAGTAAATTCTGTAACTATGGAAACAACTTAAATATAATTCCTCAGGCTGATCACTAGATGGAGTTATTATTTTCCATATGTGGTACAAGGCGATGTTAGAAAATTTCTAGCAAGGTTGGGAATATTTAAAATAAAAAAAATCTTATCTGGTACAGTTCAAGGGTGTACTTAGTTATTGAAACCATAATTAAAACGTACCCTCTCTCTATCTCCCTATACTCGTGGATGTGAATAAGGATTTGTTTAGCCGGGATAACCTACCTGTATACAAAGTTCATTCAGGTCCTTTCAACTGTTTAAATATAGTTGAGTAAACATCTAAACGTCTTTATAAACTTTCACGTTTATAATAATCATATGAGCCTTTTAACTGTCCTCCCCATTGAGGGGTTTTGCCAGTACCTGCTACGTTTGGCAGGCGGATTGGAAACCGAAGTTAGACTTTGGAGATACTTTAAGAGGGCCACGTTTGCTTATACCTCGCCCTCCCTTAGTCGCCTCTAATGTTACCCACGGGGGTATGTCACGATCACGTTTATAATATTAGTAAATAAATAAATAATAGGATTTACGATTTAAATTTAATGATTTATGATATTTTTATGGCATTAGTTAGTCCTTAGGGATGGCAAAGCATGGGGGTATCATGGGCGAAACAGTATACTCTGTTATGTCTATGGTACTGCACATGTTTATAGGCGATGGTTACCATTTTCCATCAGGTGGGCCGTCAGCTTGTTGCCATTCTAAGTTGTATAAAAAAAAACGTAACTAAGTCACTACTAAATGAATTTAAATAAAATTGGGTATGGGTCCTAACTTAGGAAAAACATTGTTTCACATGGATGAAGCTGCGGACTACAACTAGTTAGGGAACAAATTGAATGAAAGTCATAAATTATTTATTTTAATTGAAACAAAACCATTATTTTGGATGTCTCATGTTTATTAATAACAGAGAAAACATCATCATCATCATCGTCAGTGATTTATGGGTGCAAACCACTTCTGGAGCGTGTGGCTATAGATTGAATAGAACTTGCTTTATTCTTAAGGAAATCGACCTCCATAAAGTCATTAATTTCTCCTAAAATTATCGCCATTAGATTTATCTCGTATATATGCTTCTTGTAGGCGAAATAATCAATTAGTGCAGCCTCCATGCCGTATGCAGTGGGCTTTACTTTCAACTGGAATTCGGAGAGCTGACTTGTTCCGTTTGCGTTCAAATAATAAACCTTATCATCAGAGGCAAACGGTACACAATCTTCCATAACGAATGGAGGTTTGATTAATGTGACCGATGTAGGATTCTCTGGTAGACCTACGAATTTCTTGACTCCCTCTGCATTTATCACGTAAGGCTGCTTATCTTCGCCATAGTAATAAATATTATCAGAATAATCCAACACTAATTGTTGTGCGTTCTTTATTTCCTCAACTTTGGTCTTCTTAGTACCTTCATCTGTCACTTTATAAACTT